CCTGGGTTTAGCTTATATCTTCTTTTTCTAATGCAGTCAAATTGAAGAAGACGAGAAGAAGAAGAATGAACAGGAAGAAAAGGAAAAAGTTGAGACTGAAAAAGTTAAAAGAGAAGCAATACAGGTAATTGATTCAGATCAGTTCAATCTAATGCATTTAAATATTCACTGAGTTTTATTAGTAAGACCTCCTCCCTCCTTTGCATCTCAGCATCCTTAGTGACCTTACAAATGGAAAACCTGTATATTTGGATCATCATGTCTTAAAGGACCTCTTCTTATTCATTTTTTTAATCTCTCAATATGATTAAGAATCAGAGAGGAGCTCAATCCTTCTGATCATATGACTTATATTAACCCAAGAAAGAATTGTATCCAGATTATCTTCTTGTTGGTTAAACTTAAGCCAATAGAATGAAATGTTGATATTTCCCCCCTTCTATTCTTTGTTATATAAAGAACACTTGTTGTTGTTGTTGAGTACCATTAAATAGGAATTGATCCATAGCTGATCCTTCAGTGGGTTTAATCATATAGAGGAGATTGCCCATCTTTTTCCTGCGGAGTAACTGGTGAAGTTGAGCTGTGTGCATTCAGGTCTGTAACCCAGGTTCTTTAGTTTAGAAAAAAATAGTCCATCATTCAGTCCCAATTTAATCCCAATTCTGTGAAATTTTTGGAAAAGTTTCTTAACTCTTTGAACATTGAATTTCCATTCTGTAAAATTTCACAAAATAGTGGTGATAATAGTGAAAGCTATTATTTATTTACTAGCAATTGTACGTCTTGGAGCTGTGGTGGCAGAGTCGTTAACGATTTTGGCTATTACCAAAAACTAGTAGTTCAAATTCCACAGCTGCTCCTTAGGAGAAATATGAAGCAATCTGCCTCTGTGAAGATTCACAGCCTTGGAAGTCCCATAAGTCAGTTCTGCTGTATATTCTGCCCTGTAGGGTCAAAATAAGTTGTAATCAATTCATGATGGCAACAGATTGTAGTATATGGTGATTTTTCTCCCCATAAACATTTTACAACTAATCCTTATAGTAACCAAGGCATATATTACAATGCATATTTTATTGAAGAGAACTCAGAGGCTCATATAACATATTGAAAACAGATTGATTGTGGGGAGACAGGACTGAGGTATTCCTGGAGTTATTGGTCCCTCCATTTGGGGGTACTTGTCTCCATGGCTGTAAGACCATCCCAGGGGGGCAGGTAGGGCAAGAGACTTTAGTATACAGAATTTCAAGCAGAGGAAAGAATTTTTGTAGTGCTCTGGGAGAGAGAGAGGGCTGACTTGAGACACCCTGAATGCAAGCTGCTTGAGCTGGCAGCCCTGATCTCTAATCTCTTGCCACTCCAAAAACAAAGGAAGACATTAAGCTCCAGGAATAAAGATGCATGAGAAACTGCTGGAGTAGAGCATCTGATCTCACACTGCTCAGCAACTTCATACATGAAAGAGACCTAAAGAGTTGGTGTCAGGAGACAACAACAAAGAGACATTCCTATAGGGCTGAAGTACCAGAAAGAGAGAATCTCAAGGCCTTTAGGAAAGGCAAATTTTCGCAAAAGGACTTACAGTGGAGTGAGTGCCACATTTTAATGTGTCAACTAAGTATTAGCATTATAAAAGCAAGAACCAACAACAACTTGTGCAGACACAGTAAAAACTACCTAATATTTATAAAAAAATTCACATAATGTCTACTAAGCAGAACACAACTTCAAACACTGTAAAAAAACCACAACACACACACACACACACACACACACACACACACACACGCACACACAAATAAAGCTTTCTCAAAACAAAAAATCAGAGAATAGTAGGGATCTAATGAATACTCCAGAGTCAATAAGGCAGATGATATATGCTGATATGGAGATATTCGAAAAGCTGCAAATGAAAGACCAAAGGATAGAAGAAACAGTGGAAGCCACAAATAAAGGGAATAACCTACAGGAAGAGAACCAGAAAAAATATATTGATGATGAGTTATTTGAGCAGTTATGGAAGAAGGTACAAATGATGGAAAAAATAATGAAAACCACCAAGAAAGCAAATGCTGTAGAGACACAGAGCCAAAAGAAATAAATTGATGAGGAGGAACTTGCACAAATATGAAAGAAAATGCAAAAAAATGGAAGAAAGAATTAAAACTATAGATAAAGAGGTACAGAAATTTAGAAAATTATCACAAGATAGAGAGGGTAATGACAACACAGTACTAGAAATAACAGAAAGACATGGAAATATAATCTAGAATATTAAGACTGAAATGGCAAAAGTGTCAAACATGGTGGGGGTGGGGGAACAGAAAAGTAGAACAGAAGAGACAGAGCAGAGGATCAGAGAGCTGGAAGACAAGAATCTCAACAGAAACATACTAGATGAAAAATAAGAGATAAGGCATAAAGAAAATGAAGGAAATATTAGAATAATGTGCAATGACATCAAAATGAATAACATACATATGATTGGAATTTCAGAATATGAGAGGGATAAGGATTACTGATGAAATTGTGGAAGAGTTACTAGGAGAAAACGTCATAGGATCATGAAGAACGAGGAAATCCACATTTAGATAACTCAGTGAACACCAAATAGACTAGGCCCAGAAAGGAAAATATCAAGACATAGTCTCCAAAATATTGTAAAATATCATGAAAAATTTATCTCCAAGAAAAAAGATTTATAATATCATAAAAAAGTTATCTCCAAAATAAAAGATAAAAATAAAATACAACATAAGAAAAACAAAGAGTCACCTACAAAGGAAAACCAATCAGATTAAGTTCTGATTTTTTCATCAGAAACCATGCAAGCAAGAAAACAATGGGATGGCATATACAGAAAATTGAAAGAAAAAAAATTGCCAACTGAGGATCCTGTATCTAGCAAAATTCTTCACCAAATATGCAGGAGAAATCACTTCCTTTGCAGAAAAGAAAAAAAACTCAAGAAATCTGTGAACGAAAGATCAAATCTACAAAACCTTTTAAGGGAAATCCTTTACATAGAGACACCAAAGAAAAATGGATAAACCATGGTAACCAGAAACAAGAAGAAAAGAAACACAGCAAAATGAGAACAATAAAACCTGACCTGTCAATATTCATACAATGTGAATGGACTAAATGAACCAGTAAAGATAAAATGAGTAACAGAATGAATAAAAAGCACAAAATTCCATCAATATATTGTCTACAGGAGACACATCTAAGAAATGAAAAGATAGACTCAAAATTAAAGGTTGGGGGAGGAGGGGAAATGCCAAGCAAGTGGCATCTACAAAAAAACCAGGAGTGGCAATACTAATTTCTGACAAAATAGACTTTAGAATAAAAAAATCAGCATGAAAGATAAGGAAGGGCACTATTTATTGATTAATGGAACAGTAGATCTAGAAGACATAGCATTGGTCAACATCTATGCACCAAATGATAGACCTGCAAATACATAAAACAAATGTTAACAGGATTGAAGGAAAAAATAGCACCATATTAGTGGTAGGAGATTTTAATACATCAATCTCACCAAAAGATAGAAGAAACTTAAAAAGATGCAGAAGACCTAAAATACGTGGATATATTCTAATCACTACACTCAATTAAAATTTCAATTCACTTTCTTCTCAAGTACACATGGTACATTCTCCAGAATTGATCACAAAACAAGCCCAAACAATTAAAAAACATTGAAACAATATAAAGTATCTTCTTGTACCAAAATGCGATAAAACTAGAATTTAACCTCAAGAGAATAAAGCTTATAAAACCACCAATGTGGAAGCTAAATAACACCTTGCTACAACACAATTGGGTTATAAAAGAAAGAATAAAATAAAAATTTCCTTGAAACAATTGATAATGAGAATATAACATACCAAAACTTCTGGGATGCAGCTAAGGCAGTCCTCAGGGGGCAGTTCATGGCAATAGGAAAACACATAAAAAAATTAAGAAAGAAGCAAAATTATTGAACTAACTCTACACCTTCATCAAATAGAAAAAATAACAACCACCTGACCCAATAGAATCTGTTGTTGTTATTATTGTTGTTTTTGTTATGTGCCATGACGTTGCCTATAACTCATAGCAACCCTACGTACTACAGTTCTGAACCCTGGTCTATCCTGAGCCAACCCTATTGTCTCTGACATACCTACCCCATTATCCTAGTCACTGAGTCAATCCATTTCACTGAGGGTCTTTTCCTCCTGTGCTGTCCCTCTATCTCCACCCCAAGTGTACTGTCCCCTATCCAAGAACTGGTCTATACTTGCAATATACTCAATGTACATCACTCTTTCCAGAACAAACCTTTTTGTTTTCTTAACAGTCCATTCAACACTATTCTGCAGCACCACAGCTCAAAGGCATCAATTCTCCTTCTATCTTCCCTAGTCATTGACCAGCTTGTGAAAAGCATGGAACAGAATTGAGAACCCAGAAATGGATTTATCTATTTTAGATCAACTGATAGTCAACAAGGAAATAAAACTTATCAAATAGAGAGATGACAACCTCTTCAAAAAATAGTGCTGGCAAACCTGGACTGCTAACTACAGAAAGATGAAACTGCTAGCTACAGAAAGGATCCACAATAATCAACTCAAGGCAGATCAGAGACCTGGGAATAAATCCCCAAACTATAAAGTTCATAAGAGACAAACTGGGATCAAGCTTAAAAGGCATGGTCTACCATATAAAGGGACTGTCAAATACAGTCAGAAATACACAATCTGAAGGAGATAAAATTGATGAGTGGAACCTTAGATAAAGTCTCTGTTTCACCAAAAACTTTTTCCAAGAGGGTGAAAAGAAAACCTACTGACTCAGAACAAACATTTGGCAAGAATATCTCAGACAAGAGTTTTATAATGAAAGGTTACAGAATATTATTCCTGGACCTCCAAAAGAAAAAGACTGATAATCCAATTACAAAATGGGCAAGAGAAAGTGAAAGACTTTTCACAGAGGAGGACATTTAGACGGCCAATAGACACATTAAGAAATACTCAAAATCATTGGTAATAAGAGAGATGCAAATCAAAACCACAATGAGATACCATCTCACTCCAACAGCAGTGGCAAGATTTAACAGGACAACAAGTAGTAAATGTTGAAGAGAATGTGGCGAGATAGGAACTCTTATACATTGTTGGTGGGGTTGTAAAATGGTACAACCACTCTGGAAGGAAGTTTGACATTTCCTCAAAAAGCAGAACATAGAAATTCCATATGGCTATTCTACTGCTTGGAGCATACCCTGAGAAAATTAAAACTGAGGCACAAACAGATATTTGTACACCTGTGTTCATAGCAGCGTTATTCACCATAGCAAGAACATAGTAACAACAAAAATGTCCAACCACAAATGAATGGATTGAGAAATTATAGTACATTCACATAATGGAATACTGTGAAGCATGCAGGAGCAATGATTTTGTAAATTATTACCTAACATGGGAGGGACTAGAGAGTATTATGCTAAGTGAGCTAAGTCAGTCTCATAAAGACAAATACTGTATAACACCATTATTGTACAAGTATGAGGATCCAAGGGCGGGCCTTAATCATAGGATAGCAAAATTTGATGGCTGGAGGGAAATGTGGGTAAAGAAAAGGGAATGATTCTGTTTGTAAAATATATATTAATTTTGTAAGAGGACATTAGGCTGAGTGAAGTATCTCAGCCACAAAAGGACAAATATTGTATGGTGCCACTGTTTTAAAACAGGACTGGCCTCGGGGTTGTGGGGAAACTAAGAAAGATGGGTTTAATACTGTATACTGCATTGAAACATATGAGGGAGAAAACTGTTTAAGAGGGATATGTTATTAGGTATTTTTGTCATTACAGGAGTCCAGAGCGAAGGCTGTATAGTGGAGTGGACCTGGGGGGAGGGAATTGTAAAACAACGAAAGAATTTTTTTAACTTTTCCAAGAGGGTAGTATACTAGGGGGAAGGGTTAGGAGGGGAGAAAAGTGCAACAATGAATGACTGGAAATCCAAAGTCTCTGTAAATTTTCATTGAAATTAATAATAAATTTAAAAATAATTAGAAAAAATTAAAAAACTAATTGAAAATCTAGCAGCTTGACAAGTTAACAATTTAATTTTCCTTTCAAATATCACAATGTGCTTTAGTTTTATACCTGATATACTTTTGGATATTCTCAAAAGCTCTGTTTCAGATTTTCAATGTTATTTTCCTTTATTCTTTTCTAAAACGGAAAACTTCATTCCTTAATACTTAGTTGTCAGCTTTGCCATCTATAGTCTATTCTTACCTGTGAAACCAAGATAATTATTGGAAAAGAATAAGATAACATTACCCAGTAGTTTGCCCTCTCATTCAGAGCAAGACCCAAGGTTTTTCATGGCTTACAATGCCTCATATGATCTAAATTTTATACTCGCATGTCCTGTGTGGTTTTGTGAAGCATAACTACCAACTATGTTAGAAACTATAAATCTAGATTTAAATCTCAGAGCTCAAATCATGGCTCCATATGCTAGCAGTAAAGTCAGAGAGTTAACTTTTTCATAAATAAGTTTCTTCATTTATAAAATAGTGTTAAATATTACAGTTATTAATTATATGAAGGCCCAGGGAACTCATCAATATGTAACAGAACAGTTCTTCATGCATCTTGATAACTCAATGCATATTCAATACATCAGTTATGTTTTGGAGCATTATTTCATATTTACATATCTTCATTTATTTGATTCTTGAATCCTCCTTTCCTTTGACAGGAGATTTGCAGTGAATACCGCGACTATGTAAGGAATGGACGGCTCTCCTGCACTAGAGAAAATGATCCTGTTGAAGGTTTAGATGGGAAAATACATGGCAACACTTGTTCCATGTGTGAGGCCTTCTTGTAAGTAGTGCTTTTGTCACTTCTACTGTTTAAAATAAGAGAAGCCAAGCCTGGAATGGGTCAGAGAGTGATGTTGGAGGCTTTCTCTTGGAGATAGCTTATGAAGGCTGTCCTTATATTGAGTGGAAAGATGTTGGTAATATAAGCCACTTAAAGCATTTTTAGTGACCTTAGAGTTCAAAAGTTATATAAATTACTATCAAAGGACTATTTCTAAGGCAAAATTCTACCAGAATTGATGGCATAGAAGGACTGAGACTTCTATCCTCTGCATATGTATGTTCATGTCATGGATAGTTCAAAGAGACAAGCATTGGATGCTAATAATTGACAATCTGTAAACAATTCAACATAGTGGGCAATATTTTTAAATATCTCAAGTGTTATATGAACATCAAGTCTACTATGACTCATAGTGACCCAATGTATAGTAGCTTTGAACCTTGCTCTATCTATCCTGAGTCATGCTCTATCCTGAGCCAATCTCACCACCTCAGTTACACCTACCCTCATTACCCCTACCCTCATTACCCCAGTTACAATGTCAATCCATCTCATCAGGTAACTTCCACTCCTGCACTGTCCTTCCACCCTACCCTTCTAAGCATGATATCCTTCTCCAAGAACTGACTGGTCCTTCCTGGCAACATGCCCAAAGTATGTGAGACAGAGCCTCAAAGTCGTTACCTCCAAGAAACAGCAAGCAAAATCCTGTTGAAGATTATCCAAATATGACTAGAACAATACATTGACAGAGAATTACCAGAAATAGAAGCTGGGTTTAGAAGAGCCTGTGGCACTAGGGACAGCATTACCAATATCAGATGAATCTTGGCTGAAAATTTTGTTGTTAGAGAGAAAATATTCTATCCAGTTAATTTTAACTCATGGTAACCCTATATATTATAGAGCAGAACTAAACTCAGTAGAATTTTCTTGCCTGTAATTGCTGTGAACGTAGTTTACCGGACCTTTCTTTTGCAATGATGCTTAAATATAGCTGCCAATCTTTTACTTACTAGCCAAAAGCAAACTGTGTGTTCAACTCAGGGGTCTGAGGAGAAGGACAATGCCTTATACTTTCTAATATAAATATAGTTTATTTATGTAGTGCTTTGTTATTACAAACTTGTTTTCCTAGTTGTTTTTTTTTTAAAAAAAAAGAAAGCAATACCAAATAGCACAAGAGAAACCGTAAACAAAAGGTGTCATTTGTCTTTCTACTAGGTAGCTAAGGTAATAGAGACATTAAAGTAATAGAAAATTTCAGATTAACAGAATCAAGATTTATCCAACTTTAATTTCTTAATTTTGATGCAAAATCCAAGCAGTCATACATGAAATGTTAAAAATGTTCTTGAAAGAGAGTCGACAACAGACAGCAATCTGAAAATTGTGAGTGGAGAGCTATATTTTTTGTCTCTCAGAGTAACTGTTTTGCTTTCTATGACACTGATAACTCCTTTCCCCTGCCTCAACATCTGCTAGCCAGCCCTCGGAAAGAAAATTCTCAAAAATTAATTAAGCTTAATTAAGAACACTCTGGTGGCTTATTGCTAAAGAGTTGTCCTGCCAATCAAAAGCAAGTGATTTTGCTTCCCACCAGCTGCTCCCTAGGAAAAGATGAATCATTTTCTCCTGGGCAATTTACATTTAAAAAACAAACAAACAAAAAACTTGTTAGTGGGTCAAGAGTTGTTCCTGACTTCATGATACACAACAATATAAATCAGACTGAAAATAGAATACCATAAAGGTTGATCAACCTACAAACACTGACAACTAAAAATAAAAAAGAAAGAATAATGTGTAAATATTTTATTCCAGTGAGTCATAGGGTGAAAGATGAGGGTAGTAAAGAAATGGTCCATTGAAGGAACTGGTGAATTGTTGTCCTTCCCTGATGCCCTTTAATGGAAAGAAAAGAGAGCAGAGCTCAGCAAACAGATGGGTTAGGAAACGGGAAAGGAGAGGTACAATGAGGTGTCTATAAGACCAGTGAAGTAATGGCATTATACAATGATATTTGATGTTATAAGAAAAACTGGACGTAAGTGATTGAATAAAATTAATTATTATTAAAAAGAAAAAAGTGAGTAAGTGGGTTAATCACAAAGATTATAAACTTTGCCAACTATGATTCATAAAATCCCTGTGAACAACAGATACGATCTTTGTCTTAGCTGGTGCCATTTATATTATCATTGATATACTTGAGTCCACTGTTAACAATTACTGTTTCAATCCAAATTGTTGAAGGTCTCCCTCTCTTTTGCTGACCCTCCATTTTTCCAAGCATTATAAAGACTTAGTAAGCAGAAAACCAATAGCATTGAAGGAAATGAGATAACAATAGAACTTAACACAGAAAAATATGTAGAACAGTGAAATCAACACCACTACAATGGAAAACATGAATAAAACAGTAAATTTCTATTTATCAATTTTTCCATTCATATCTATCTGAATGCACTCTACTGAATGCAAATGGTTTAAAAGACCAGTCAACATAAAGTGCCAAAAGAGGTAAAAAGAAAAAGAACCTATCAATATTTGAACTCCAATCAAAAATAAAGTTAGAAAATATGTAAATAATAAGATAAGCAAAAAGTGAAATGGTTACAAATATTCATTTCTAATAAAACGGATGTCAAGTCAATACCCAGCGTAATATACAAATGACCCTGTAATATGAGTAAAGAGTCAATCCAAAAGAGGATCTAACTTTAATAAATATCTGTTAACTCAATAAAACATTCTAAAAATGCATAAAACAGATGCTACTAGAATTGGGAAAAGAACTCTCAAAGTAGGATATTTCAATATATAACTTTTGATGAAGGACAAGAAACTACAAAGAAACTGGACAAAAATGCAGAAAGAAGATCTCAACTACACAGTCATTCAATTTGACATCATTGATATATGCAGAATATTCAACCCAACAGAAAAGCAATAAGCATATGTTTATGATGCATATAAAAGATTCATCAGAATCAACAAGATGGTAGGTCTCAAAATAAGCTTTGATAATCCCCCACCCTGCTCCTCAAAAAGCCTCAATAAATTAAAATCGTGGAAATTATTTTCCTCATAGTCTCAGATCAAACTTAAAGTGAGAAATCAATTACAGGATGGCCAAGGAGGAAGAGAAAAATCAAATACGTAGAAACTGAACAGCACCTTACAGGGAAATAAAAAAAAGAAAATACTGAGTAATAGAAGAAATGAAAAGAGAAAACAAAATTTCTTAGAAGTAAACAAAAATGAAAACATAGCATATCAAAACTTCATTTCTTTTTCTTGTTGTTGTGTACCATAGAGTCAGAACTGACCCATAGCTGGCCATTTGGCGGGTTTTTAGATGCAGTTAATTGTAGGGGAGGAGATTGCCCATTCTTCTACTTCAGAGCAGCTGATGTCTTTGAACTGCATTGCCTTTGGAATTGCAATGCAGCTTCTTGCCACTAGGGCACAAGAGCTCATTAAAACCTCAGATATGCAGTAAAACCAATGCTCAAAGGATCGTTATAGAAATTGATGTATACACCAAAAAATAAGAAACCAAAATCAATACAAAACTCTAACATTAGAAAAAAAATCACCACCAACAAAAATCAATCACATAAATCTTACAATTTCAAGGAAAATTGAAATAATAAAGTTTAGAGAAGAAAGAAATGAAGGAAGCAGAAAACAATAGAAATAAGCAAGACTAGAGTTTGGTTCTAAAAAAAATTTACAAGCCACTGGCTTTTAAATTGTACAATTTGATGGGTGGAGGTGGTGAGGGAAATTGGAAGAATCTGTTCTGGAAAACAATGTATCCGAATTTTGTAAATAAACTAGTATAATAAAAATAACTGAAAATGGAAAGAAAATATAAATGAAACAAAGAAATGAAACAGAGAACATAATAACAGAACCAACAGAAATAAAAAAAAATAAGAAGAAGATATGATGAGAAATGTACTCCAACAAATTTGAAAACTTATAAAATATTTCACCTATATAAAACACATTTATATAAACATATAAAACATATATGTGTATAAACATTTAAATCACTTTTCTAGAAATATGCAATCTGCCCAAACTAACACTAACCAAGTTAGAAAATTTAAACTGATTCCTAAAGAAGAAATTGGGTAGGTCATAAAATACCTCCCAACTATAATAACAACGCAAACACCATGGACTAGATGAGTAGAAGAATTAAATGTCCTTCAAATATTCATATTTGAATTGACAGCAATTCTACTCTAACTATTCCTGAACATATAAAAGGACAGAATACCTATGAAATCATTCCATGAGCAAAGCATAATTCTGATACGTCATGACATTGGTGAACCTGGAAGGCATTGTGGTGGACAAAAGAAATCAAACACAACAGAACAAATACTGCATGTGTCTGCTATTTTAAAACAATAACTCTGAAAAAGATACTGATTAAAATATTCTTCATTAGTTTCCAGAGATAAGTGAGCAGGTAAAGGAGAGGGAAGACTTGTAATCAGAAAACATGAAACTAAAATAAAAATGGTGACTATTTAGAAACTTAAAAGAAATGTAACGACTTTAAAAATAGTAGTTATTCTTATGTGCCATTGAGCTTTCTGTGACTCATAGCTATGAACAATAGCTCTGAACCCTGCCTAAGAATTAATGAAATAGTTCTCTATTGAGATATTTCTTCTTTATAATAAATGCATTAAGTGCTAAGAAAAATTATATTTTTTTTCTCTTACAGTCAGCAAGAAGCAAAAGAAAAGGAAGTTATATCAAGAGCAAAAGTTAAAAGATCAGCTGAAAAGGTAGTTGTCCTGGAATATTGATAAATTAATAAAAGGATAGATTTGCAGTTTTCTGTCAAAACAAGTCACGGACGTATTCTTGGCTCTTTTGAACCTACCCAGCGCCTGCAGGGGAGAAAGAGCAGACAATAAGAGAGACTGGGCAATCAAGAAAACCCCTATGGGGCAGATCTACTCTGTCAAGTGAAGTTAATATAAGTAAAAAATGACTTGAGGTCACCTAATAATAACAGCTCTGAGAGAAATCAGAGGTTGACAAATTTTTCTTAAAAGTCGAGATAATAAATATTTTTTACTTGGAGATCATACTATCTCTGGTGCAACTACTCATCCTATTACTGTAACACTAAAACAACCATAGATAAAATGAAGATGAAGGAATGTGACTGTGTTCTAATAAAACTTTATATTTAAAAGCAGATGCTGGGCTGGATTTTTCCTAAAGGCTGGTTTGCTGACTCCTGATAGTATCTTTTCCATATTTTAAAATTGAGAAGATATACTGCCCAGAAAACAATACCCAGAGAATACTGATATCAGAACTATAGCTTCATAATTTAAAGTTCTTACAGTAGAAAAAGAGAAAAGAACAGAATGCAAGCTCATGCTTCCTGACAACAAACACAGAATACTTTTTAGTGCACTATACATTTTTATGTTATACATTTGCTCAAATTAGGTGTATATTTTGTATTTCACATTTCATTTTCTTCTACTGCTAGTATTTGAAAGGAAAATAAAGAAAAATACATATTCCTAAATAATGTTTTCTGGGTTCAAAACCACTGACATGTGGTAGATTATTCTGGTTAATGGTCATTTTTTTAATCAGAGACTTTGATATTAAAAGTTATCTCTAAAGAACTATCACATTCTGTACAGTTGCATTTCACACATTTGTAAATCTAAATTAAAAATGAATATTTCAAGTAAAAAACCCCTTCATGATATCAACATAAAATGTTTTGATAAAGGGCAACTTTTAATTTCATATTAGTTAATAAAGATACTCTTTTCATACTGTGTTTTTTTTTTCTAAATAGGGGGCTCTGGTGGCCTAGTGGCCTAGTTGTGTTACAATTTCAAAGGCATGTGGTACAAATACACAGGAGAAGGATGGGCAATCTCCTCCTGTGACATTTACTGCTTCTGAAAACCTACTGGAGGATTGACTACGGGTTGATTCTGATTCAAAGACACACAGCAACAACAACGAGCAGAGATGGGGGTTCTGGCAGTGAATCTTGAAGCAAAACTAGGAGACAAACTCACTCCATAGACTATGGTTCAACTTGAACTAATTATTTCAGAAAAAATAAAAATCAATCTTTATTTGCACTAATAATAAACTATGGTCATAAGTGACCTACTTATTCTTGCTCAATTCATCATAAAACATTTACTGAGTGCTTTGTAAAGTCAGTCCCATACTTAATTACATACCTATGTCATCTCATCTCATTCCCACAAAAATTCAGACCACGTTTAGTGTATCTTGAAGGAGTTCTGGTGATCCTTCCGTGATTTGAATTCATTAGTGCTCCAGTAGAGAGAGAGAGTCTCCTTCTATATAGATTTATAGAAACCTAGTAGAGTTACCTCAATCAGAAATTGACTTGGCTGCACTGAGTTTGATTTTTAATGTATATTAATCATTATAACTTTAGCCATACTAAATAGACTAACATTTTTAGGAAAGGAAAAAGGTTCATAATGAGAAATGAGAAGTCATGTCATATAAAGAATGACTGAATTATCTGGAGGTGTTTGGATATTAGGAGTTGATATAGGGAGATATGAATGAAAAACAGGATAGATCTCTCAAAATATAAAAAAGATTTTCATATGAAATAAAAAAATACTTTCTATTTTTCTGAAGGAAGAAAAGCACTTCCACTTTGTTTTCTGATCAGAAAGAGTGCAATCTTCTCCATTTTAAAATAATGGTTTATAGAGTATATCCTAAGCATAAGGACCCTGTGTTGTGTCTACTAGTTAATGTTGAGTAGATGAGTAGACGCCAACTTACAGTGACTCTACTCAGTAGAAAGAATCACTGTCTGAACCCACATCATTTTCACAGTTGCTGTTATGGACAAGCCCATGGTTGCAGTCACCGTGTCAATCCATCTCATTGCTGATTTTCCTAATTTTTACCCACCCTGTCTACTACCAAGCATGCTAAATTTCTTCAAGGTCTGGTGCCCCATCCCCCCAATAATATACTGGATATAAGATGCAATTAAAAAAAAATCCTCATAATTTCCCTCCACTCACACATTTTGTGCAACTTTTAGTAGAAACCCAGCAAACAATTTTTAGGAAGATACCCGGTCCTTAGAGAGGGACATCATGCTTGCGAGGGTGGAGGGACAGCGCAGGATAGGAAGGCCCTCTATGAGGTGGATTGATTCAGTGACTGGGATAATTGGGATGGGAGTGTCAGAGACAGTGCGATTGGCACAGGACAGAGTGGAGTTTAGGGCTGTTGTACATATAGGGTCGCTATAAGTCGCAGGCGACTCGACGGCACACAACAACAACAACAACAACAACAACAACACCCAAACACGTGAATTTTCTTCTTTTAGGATGAATGCAGTGAATATCGAAGTCTTTTGCGAGACAGTACGCTTTTCTGCACACGAGAAAATGATCCTGTGCGTGGTCCAGATGGCAAGACCCATGGCAACAAATGTGCCATGTGTAAGGCAGTCTTGTGAGTGCACGAGAGAAGCCCTACTGTGGTTGACAAAACTGGGAAGAAAAAGAACTGGGCAGATAATCCAATTTCCCTTATACACAGAAGGAAGAAAGCATATTTTATACAATTCCTGGTTTTAAAAGGCAAAAATTCACAATTTTAGAAACAAATAATACATTAAAACAGTATCATATTTTCTGTTAGTTTCAGGGTAGAGACCAACAATAAATAGCAATATATTCTCAGATAAACTTTTAAATGGTTTGCTGTCAAATGCATTGTATTCTCTGGATTATATTGGAATTAACTCTTGGGAAGAAAAAAAATTTATTAATCTAACTTGACTTTATTGAAAATTTTAACTTTTTAAGTAAACAAAATTTTGGAAGAATACACCAAATACTTAAGGCATTCAATAGCCTCTTTTTGTTGCTGAATATCTCAAATGTGCACTCTGCATAATTATTATACAACCACCAGAGATTAGACATACACATAAATTCATATAATATAGAGGAATAATTGATAAATTTAAAATGATGTCTACAAAAAATGATGTCTCCAAAAAGTTAAAGTACTTTAAGAAAAGAACAGTTAATAAATAGTTTTATGGAGAGATAAAGTGGATTTTCAAATTTGAATATTATATGCCATGACAGGGAAATATGAACAGAAAAAGAAGAAAGTGCAAGTGAATATATAAAATGAATAAAAATGTAAGGAATAAGATATTTATGTTAAATAAACCCTTCTATCCTTACTAGCTTTGAATTTGAGTCCAAGGGCTCTGAAGTGAATTCTGTATATGTTGGATAGCTGCTAGACTTTTAACTCGTGAGATAACAAGTAGCATAAATGTCACTGTTTCAGGAATGATGATATAGCTAAAGTAAAAAGGAGGAAAAACCTAAACTTCAGAGTCCTATTGCAGCCGTAGTAGTTTGCAGTAATCCAGTATGATATACATGGATCACAGGAAGCAGGGAAGCAGAATGCAAGGTGGTGAGATCAATATGGGAGAAACTATGGAGGTGAACGCGATGCTAGGGGACAAGAGCTGAGTGAGTGGAAGGAGCTGAAGCACTGAGCTATGGGTCTAAAGGTTTGTTCTTTGAAAGAAAATGAAGGAGAAAAAGTACAGTTAGCATTAAAATGATTACTTATGGATCTTTGTGTATTAAGCACTTAGAGAAATTTAGCTAATTAAGTCCAGTGCCCCTTTATGAAATGATAGTTAATGGCTCATACTGTATTGCTCAAGGTTATGTATACATTGGTCTTTGCCTTCTGCAATAAGAGTTCTCCCATTTAAAGGTCTTCATATACTTAATCTAGTTCAGGGAAAAGACTCTGCACCATAATACATGTTTAATAATATTATGGACTTCTCTAGCTTGGTCACATGACAAGAAATTCATAGAAACACACCTCTCTTTCTCTAATCTATTATTTCCCATTTCCCTTTTTCTAATTTCCAGCCAGAAAGAAGATGAAGAGAGAAAGCGGAAAGAAAAAGAAGATCAGAGAACTGATTCAGGACATGGCTCCAGTGGTGGTAGTGGTGGTGAAGGTGGAAAAGACAAGGTGAAAACAATTCCAAATTTCATAACCAGCATGAATGCAACACATTGGTGATGGGACTATGGGAAACATTGTATATGAGAAAAATTATCAGCAAATGATTTGCTGCAACACGTGTGTAGCACATATGTACTAATGATCCCCAAACCAACCCAAATCCGTTGTCGTTGAGCAGATCGTAACAAAGAAATGAAAACCCACAGTGAGTGCAACAAAGTCTCAGCATGAGAGCAAGCATTATGATGGTGCGGGGCAGGGTCTTATTTCAATGTTTTTAATCAACTCATCATGAGCTGTGATTGATTTTTATAGCACTTACCAGCAACAACGTAACCACATAATAGGACAGAGTTTAACTGCCCCATAGGGTTTCCCAAGCTGTACCATTTTACAGAAGCAGATTATTTAATATTTCTCCATAAAGCACATGGTGACTTTTAAACACTACCTTCTGTTTAGCAATCACTTTTTAACCCCTACATCACCAGGGTTATATTGTTATTATTAGTAATAAGATTTGAGAAGCAAACAAAAAACAGATAGTGATACATGTGATTAATTTAATGTGATTACACTGCAAGTCAGGGAATACTTGGGTTCATTATATCTATTTCAAATGTGGAGATAACTGATGACTTTATTCTAGTCTCTTAATACTTCTTTGTTGTAATCTAGTCTTAAACTAATAACCAAACTCATCATTACCACAGGCTTTTAATTTTCTTCACTGTTCTTTTTATATTTGATGCAACCAGTTTTGTGAGTCTTTTTTCTTGTATGTTGATCCAAGGTAGCATAGGATTTGCCCATAGTTTAGAACTGCCAAATGCAGAGCCTGGGTTTAGAATTCATGCCACTAGAGATATAGTAGCAAGTTAGATGGATCTTAGCTGAAAACAGAGAGTACCAGAAGAATGTATAACTGTTTTTCATTGACTATGCAGAGGTCTTTGTGGATTACAAGAAACTGTTGCTAACTCTGAGAAGAATGGGAATTTCAGAACTCTTTATTGTACTGATATGAATCCAGGAGGTATTTATCAGAACAGAGCAAGGAAACGCTGCATAGTTCAAAATCAGGAAAGGTGTACATTACGGATTCATCATATCTCCATACATTTTCAATCTATATGTGGAAAAGATCATCCGGGAGGTTGGGTTCTCTGAGGAGGAATATGGCATTGAGCTTAGAGGAAGACTAATCAACAACCTGTGTTATCCAGTTGACACAACATTGCTTCCTAAAACTGAAGAGGACCTGAGGCATTTGTTGCAGAATGTCAAGGACTGCAGCCTCAATAGGGACTGAAGCTCAACATCAAGAAAACAAAGATTCTCACCACTGGGCTAACTGGCAACATCATGATAGACAATGAAGAGATTGAGATTGTTAACAGCTTCAGCTTGCTTGGCTCCACAATTAACACTCTTGGCACCTGCAGTCAGGAAATCAAAGATTAATTGCATTTGGAAAATCCACTGTCAGGGACCTCTCCAGAGTAGAGATGTGATCAAGTCAATCTAGAGACCAAGGTGCACCTGCTCCATGGTCTACACAATTACTTATTATGCATCAGAGAAGAAGCTGGGCAGTGACTAAGGATATTAGAAGAATCAGTGCCTTTGAGTTGTGGTGCTGGAGAAGGGTATTAAATGGACTAGTAGGAGAACAAACAGATTGATCGTTGAGAGGGTGAAAGCAGGCTTCTCCTCCGATTCAAGGATTTTGACGCTTTGTTTGACATACACTGGGAATGTGGCATGGACAGGCAAGTCCTTGGAGAGGGACATCATTCTTGGAATGGTGGAGGGACAGCACAGGAAAGGAAGACCCTGGATGAGATCAATTGATTCAGTGACTGGGGTAATGGGGTGGATGTGTCAGGGACATTGAGTTTAGCTCAGGATAGAGCAGGGTTCAGATCTGATGTACATAAGGTCATTATTAGTTGCAAACAGCTCACCAACACACAACAACACAATATCTCTTATGAGTTGTGAAGACTTTGATAAATTTCCTATCTCCCTGCCCTCTAATTTATCTAACAATATTCTTATAGAAGTAGAATAAAATCATTTAGACAAGTTATGTGAATATATCCTGAGACACTCCTAAGATTCAGTAACAACAACGTTCCCTAGAAACTCACTTGCTTGCTGTGTGAATACTATTTCGGTTCATAGCTATCATCTTTCTCTTTTCATGCTCTTGAGATGTTAAGAGTAAATCTTTGCTTCCAGATCTGATATGCATCCTATTTTTGCTCTTCTTAATTTGAATTGCACTGTTTCTCTGAGTTCTCAGTCTCACAGACACCATCTGTTGTTTGTCTTTTTCAATTTGTTCTAGCTTATCTAATCTGACACCTCCTTTGTGTAACTTTGCACTACTCCTCAATATTTCTCTCTTCTTTTTTATCCACACAAGAAGTTTATTCTGCAAAGTGTCCAATAGTAAATACTTTAGGATTTTTGAACCATGATGGTCTCTGTTGCAACTCTGTTACTGTTGTGAGAAATTGACCATAAATACTATATATATGTGAATGGGTGAAACTGTGCTTCATTAAAAACTTTTCTGTAAAAAATAAACAGGTTAAATTTTTCTAGAGGTTATAGTCTGCCAACGTTGTCCTAACACTATCATTTCCCAGCCATTTTGATAATTCTGCTGTGTAGAACCTTTAAAAAACATTAGTAGCTGTGTCAACTGACATCTTATACTATACTTTTCTTATACTGTACACCCACTTGCACTAGTAAATGCATACTATACCTTTATGCTATATGCACACTTATCCTATCCACCCACTGTTGTCAAATAAATTCTGACTCTTGACAACTGTCTATCAGTTTTCCTGGACTATGAACCTTTATGGAGAAAGATTGCTTGACGTTTCTCCATGGAAGTACAACATATAAAAAAAAAATACACCATAAGGGATCATTTAAATTAAAATATTAGTAATTCCATCCCCTTTTTTTAGATACTGCTGTTGCTATTGTTGTGTACCATTGAGTAGGAACTGACTCACAGCTGACTCTCCAGAAGGTTTTTAGAGGTAGTACTCACACAAGAGAAATGGGGTGCATCCTTCTCCTGCAGAGCAGCTGGCAGATTTGAACCACCTACCTTAGGAACTGCAGCACAGAGTCTTACCATTAAGCCACCAGAGAAAGTCCACCAGCTGCTCCATAGGAGAAGGATGGGCAATTTCCTCACATGCACCATCACCATACACAACAACGATACTAATTGTAGTATTTCATTAAACATAGCAATAATATAAAATTTATTAGTATAAAATCTAATATTCCATTGTTATTGTGTACCATTGAGTCAGAACAGACCCATAGCTGACTCTCCAGTGGGTTTTCAGAGGCAGTTAATCACAGAGGAGGAGATGGCCATATGTAATATTCTATTAGGCAGATGTTTTGTCAAGGAATTCTTTGAAGTGTTAAATAGCACAGATGTCACTTTAAAGACTATGGTGTGCCTGATGTAAGCCTTGGTAATTGCACATACTGCATATGCATGTGAAAGTTGGACAATGAATAAGAAAGACCAAAGGAAGATTGATGCCTTGAACTGTGGTGTTTGCAAAGAGTATTGAATATATCACAGACTGTTGTAGGAAAACAGTTGTCTTGGAAATTCATCCACAGTTTTCCTTAGAAGCAAAGATTATGTGATGTCATCTCACAAAAGGTGAGTATTTTGTCAAAAGAGGCTAGTCTTTGAAAAAGGAGGTCATGCTTAAAAAGGTGGAGGGCTAAATAGAAGAGGATCCTCAAAAGGATGGATCGACACAGTGACGAAGACAGCTGGGATTATGAGAATAGCATAGGATCTGGCAAGGTTTTAATCTGGTTTGCATAAGGTCACAATGGACTAGAGTCAACTCAGTGGTACCCAACAAGAATCACTCTAGACTTTATATTCCTTATAAGAGAAAGAGAAAAGATTTTCACTCAAGCCACCAACAAACTTAATAAGAAATCAACAGACTAAGAATTTTACTCTCTTTTCCTCTTTCAGGACCAATGTGCTGAGTTTCGGGACAAAATGAAAGATGGAAAACTCAGCTGTACTCGGGAGAGTGATCCTGTACGTGATTCTAATGGAAAATCATACAACAATAAGTGTACCATGTGCAGAGAAATACTGTAAGTGCTACTGTCAGTGTTGTGATGATTATTGTGTGCTTTCAAGTAGACAACAACTCAGAGTGACCCTACTAAATTAACTCTGAATCCTGCTCAGTCCTAAGCCAACCTCACCATCTCCAACATACTTTGACACCATTGTGTCAGTCCATCTCCTCGAGGGTCCTAATCTCTTGTGCTGACCCCTCTCCCTTCCAAGCATGATGTGTTTCTCCAAGGACTGGACCTCCTGACAACATGCTCAAAGCATCTGAGACAGAGTTGCATGACCCATGTCTCCAAAGAGCACCCTTGTTTCACTTTCTTCAGGGCAGACTTGTGTTTTTCTCTTGGTAGTCTATTGGATATTAAAAAATCTCCTCCAGCACCACAACACAAAAGCATCAATTCTTCTTCTCCATCCTTAGTGATTGTTCAGCTTTCAGTTGAAAAGACCATGTCTTGGGTCAGTTTCACCTTAGTATTTTAGACTGATATTGTCACTCTTTCACTCATGCTTAAAAGATAGTCACACACTTATCTATGACAGGATTTAGATCTATTGTTCATAGGGTTGCTATGAATGAATATAAAAGTGTTATGCATCCAGATGGAGATTTGTCCCCTGATGTTCATAGCAGCATTATTCACAATAGCAAGAAAATGAAAACAGCAAAAAATGTCCATAAACAAACTAATGGATGATGAAATGCTATGTAGTACTTAGGAGTAGTAATTTTGAAAAATATTATAGAACATTGGGAAGGCTGGAGAACATTATACTGAGTGAATTAAGTCAACCTCATAAGGATAAATATTACATTATACTATTACTGTAAAAATAGAAGAATTTCTTATTGAAACAGATGAGGGAAAGAACAGATTAGAAGTGATATATGATTGAGTATTATGGTTAGCACAGGAGTCCAGAATTAAGGTTGCATAGAGAAGTGTACTCGGGGTGGGGGGTAGGGTCGTGGGAATTGTATACTAATGAAGGAATTTTTTTTTTTTTTTTCTCTCTTTGGAGGGGGAAGTGAGCTGGTGGGGAGGGGTGGGAAGTGAGAAAATTGCGGCAATGAATGAATGGCAATCTAAAACCTCTGTAAAAATAAAAAATTTAAAGAACAGGAAAAAAAATTTATATTGATCATCCATATATTTATAATTATAATGCTGATCAATATATTGGGCATTGCCTTTCTCTTTATTCAATTTATATATTTATTAAATTTTATTCCTCTAAAAAAAAAATAGAAGAATTTCTACGATGTAAACAGAAGTCCAAAGGGGAAAGGGAAGAAAGGAGGAGGTCTAAAGGTGGAAGAGGAAGGAATGTTGAGGGCACAGAGATAAGTGTGCCACGGGAGGGGTTGAAGAAATTGGGGTCAATCAAGTGGCTTGAATAAGTAAAAATAGTGACAGGCATGTAATAATGGTGATTAATTTTATAGAACACAATGTATGAGAATGATACTATGAAATACAAAGTGAGTAGAGGAATACATGAAGCCCAATAAATATAAGAAATATATCAAGTATATGAAATTTATATGCAAACCGACATAAAATAAGAATAGTTAAAAAAATAAAGACGAGACAAGATTATGCAATACTTTTAAAGTGATAAAACTAAAAAAGGCAACAGAAAAGTATAAGAACTGTGATTTCACTTAAGATATTCAGGAAAGACTGGACATCTATGGAAGACCCACATAAAATGAATGAACTGAAACACTAAGACATCTGAAGAATGGTCTGGAGTGAGAAAAATCAAATGTAAACTTCTGATGATATGCCAAAATTAGTAAGCAGAAGATCAGACTGGATTTAACAGTTTTAAGACATTTGAATAAAGAAGAAAAACATGGGAAATTAATTTATAAAGAGTGAGATTGGATTATTTGGGACTTCACAGATCTTATGAAGAATATAGAATTTTATTTCATGTGTTAATGGAAAGAACTAGATGCTTTTGAGCATAACTAGGAATAATTAGAATTTTACAAGACATAATCATTGTAAATATACTCTTTTTTTCTAATAATTCACTTGATTAAAAGTTAATGGATATATATTTGGTAAAATGTTAAGAATATATTTTACTATATAGAGCTCTGTTGGCCTAGTGGACAGAAAGTGATGCTACCAAACAAAGGTAGGTGATTTTAGTCTGCGGTCCTCAGACCTGGTTTTAATTTGTTTTCGTCAAATATTCTTCTAAGTGGCATAACACTGGTCTGTCCATTTGCTGTACAGAGGTAACTCATGGTTGCTGTAATGCTAAACACTGTGACACTGATGTGTCAAAAGTAATAATGGTTACTCATGGTAGACAGTCTCTGGTGGAGCTTTCCGATTAAACAGCCTTGGAAGCAGGAGTGACATCCACTTTCAAAATAGCTTGCCTCTGAAAACCCTATGAACTTGGAGAAAGAATGAAAGTTAAACAAGTGTTCAGGTCTTTCACTCATGGGGTCATTATGAGTAGTATACAACTCGATGGCATTCAACAACAACAATTTAGGAGTCTCTAGTGTCCTAGTCCATAAGGAGTTGTGCTGCAAACCCAAAGGTCACAATCTCTCTGGCAATTTTAATTTACCAGCAGCTCTGAGAGAGAAATAGGGGCAATCTCTTCCTGTTTGATGTACCACCTTCAAAACTCAAGAAAGCGTCAGCTATGAGTCCGACTCCACTGCAATGAGTTTGATTTGTGTTTAGTGATCAAAACAAAGCAAAACTTTGCAAGATAAATATGTGTTAGCTTTTTAAAATATTTAGATCTTGGAATAATTTAATTTGTTCATTAAATATCAGAGTAGTGAGATCTAATGCAAATTGTGGGAATCGAACTGCTGAAAGTAGACAATGAATCTGAATTTTAACAAGGTTTCAGGTAATTCTTAATGCACGTTGAAATTTAGAAACCACTGTCATCAAAAGTAACAGACTACAAACACTTATCTTAAAAATAGTAAAGAGTCCACTTCTTATCTTAGATTCCACATTTTAAGATAGAATGTTTATAATGAGTTAACTAAAAAAATGAGTGAGCAATGGGATGGATTTAAAATTCATGAGTTATGACTGCAGGTGAAGTTGTTGTTGTTGTTATGTGCCGTCGAGTCGTTTCCGACTCATAGCGACCCTGTGCACAACAGCCCTAAACCCTGCTCTATCCTGCGCCAACCTCACCGCCTC